AAGAGCTAGTTCCAGGACAGGCTCCAAAGCTACAGAGAAACCCTGTCTCGAAAAACAAAGCAAACAAAAAATTCTTTAACTCCAGTCCTGGGGTTCCAATTGCATACAGGTAGGTAAAACACCTTTGCACATAAAAATTACATTTAAAATTATTAATTAAAAAAAGATTTAAAAAAGAACAGCTATCCCTATCTTCAGTTTCAAGGGATCTGGTGCCTTTTCCCTGCCTCCACAGGCATGCAAACAGTGCACACACACACATGTTCAGGAAGAGCACTCATATGAATAAATGAAAATTATTGTATTTTTTAACTTATTTATTTCTATCTAAGGCTGTGTGTGTGTGTGTGTGTGTGTGTGTGTGTGTGTGTGTGTGCATGTGTGTATCACATGTATACAGGTGTTTGGAGGCCAGAGAGGTGTCAGATTCCCTGGAGCTAGTTATAGTCATTTGTGAAATGCCTGATATGGGCGCTGGGAATTGAACTCAGATCCTCTGGAAGGAAGGCAGTAAATGTTCTTAACCATTGAGCCATCTCTACAACCCTATTTTATTTATTTTTAAATCTCTCTATGTATGTATATATGTGCAGTGAGCTCAGAGGCCACAAGAGAGTGTTAGTTCCCCTGGAACAGGAGTTACAGATGGTTGTGAGCCACCATATGGATGCTGATAATTGAACCCAGGTCCTCTGCAAGAACAGCCAGTGTTCTTAACCACTGAGCCCCAAATTAATAAATCTTTTAAAAAAACCAAAAAACAAAAAAAGAATCTCAGCACAGATAACAACTGCTTAGGCTTTGAAAAGAAGTTAACAGAACTAAAAAAGAAAGAAAGGAAGGAAGAAAGAAAAAAGTAAGCAAGCATGGGGGGTGGTGCTTAAATATCAAAGCCAATCTCTACCCAGAAAAATTCCCTCCCACAGTACAAGAACTCGGGACTCACAGAGTTGGGATAAGAAGGCTTGGTCTTCAAGAAGGATGTCATGGTAGAAAGAGAACCAGCCCTCGATCACAAGGTGAATGAATGCACAAACAGTAAACCAGCACAGGGCCAGTCGACGCCAAGTTCCAAGTGGGACAACGGAAGTTCGAGCAGACAACAGCCACGTGATCACAATTGGGACCCCAGAGACGGAGAATAGGCCAGCCAAAATATGCCAGGTCGGGAGGTCATTAGGCACAAAGTTGTCCAGCCTCAGGTGCCTGGGCCAGTATGGGTGTAAGGGGCCCATATTGGTGGTCATGCTGCTATGGGCCACTGGCTGCTTGGAGATAAACAGGGAGAAAAAAGGAACAGAAAAACCTGGGCAAACTGAAAGTACATGGTGAGATAATTAAACCAAATCCAAATAGTTTGCAATAAGAAATGTAAATGAGCCGGGCGGTGGTGGTGGTGCAGGCCTTTCATCCTATCTGAAGGCCGAGGCAGGCGGATTTCTGTGAGTTCGAGGCTAGCCTGGTCTACAGAGCGAGTTCCAGGACAGCTAGGGCTGTTAAACGGAGAAACCCTGTCCTGTTACACGGAAAAAACAAACAAAAAAATGTTAAATAATGGGTCCATTATTTAACAGAATTACTATAAGACTGGAGGATTAAAAACAGACCAATTTTAGCGGGACCTGGTACCACAGGCATTTAGAGTCCCAGCACTTGAAGGCAGGTGTATCTCTGTTGACTTTGAGGCCAGCCTGGTTTACATAGTGAGTTCAAGGTCAGCCAGGGCTACGAGGTGACACTAGGTCTCAGAGGGAGGGATGGGAAGGAGAAAGAGGGAAAAAAAAACAAGAAAAAAAACTCTAATTTTGAGCCATTTCAAAGAATATAACTAGGGCTGGAGAGATGTACTTGTTCTTGCAGAGACCTGGGTTCAATTCCCAGCACTCACACAGTGGCTCACAACCATCTGTAACTCTAGTTCCAGGGGATCCAACACCTTCTTCTGGCTTCTCTGGATACATACAAATATATGCAGGCAAAATAATCATACATATAAAATAAAATTAATCTTTAAAAAGACTGTAACTAAAATACGAATCTACATAAATAATAAAGGCTTGTCCCAAGTCTCTGGGAGGCCTTGCAATAAGAAATGGGCCTGGCTCGAGACTGGTAAGACTGGAGAGCTAGCTAGGAAAAAACGGGGGCATGAGAAGGTAAAAGGTCCTCCTCGCTCTCTTGGTAATGGTGTCAGGGATTTTGACATACTTAACCAGTCCACCTGTAAGAGAACTATACCGTTTCTGGGAAACAGCAAAAACAAAACTGTCAAAACTGACTAATAAACTTAAGTCCAGTGTCCTTGCCAAATGAGTGTAGTTATAACAGTGTGTGGTTAACACATGCTTGAAATCCCAACATTCTGGAAACTGAGGCTGAAGGATTGCCATGAGTTCCAGGCTAGCCTGGTCTACATAAAAAGTTCCAGAGTAGCCAGAGCTACATAGCAAGATCCTATATTCAAACAAACATACAAACAAACTTCGAGACTAAACAGCTTCCCCAGCCCCCTAAATTAGATATATAGCTTCTGCTGGGCACCTAGGTGCATTCCTCTCTGAACACTCTTCCAAGTGCAGCTTTCTGCTGGAGTAAACTCACTAACTAGCTTCATGGTGATACATCCTAGCATTTTCTTACACCAGGCAGGTTTCAAGGCCTCCTGAGCCTAAGTAGAGGCCCCCAGGCTCCAAGGGATCCTCAGGCTGCACTGCTAAGCTACACTGAGTTGTATTTCCTGTTTGTTATTAGTCAGACTCAGCCCTCAAGGGGGGTCACAACGTGGCAAAGGACACACATACAAGTCCTGGTCCTAGTCCTCTTGGTCACCTCTGGTGGAGGTGACAAGAACCAAAGGCCTTAGCCTGGTGATGGTGGCACACGCCTTTAATCCCAGCACTCGGGAGGCAGAGGCAGGCGGATCTCTGTGAGTTCGAGACCTGCCTGGTCTACAGAGCTAGTTCCAGGACAGGCTCCAAAGACACAGAGAAACCCTGTCTCGAAAAACAAAACAAAACAAAAGAACCAAAGGCCTTGATCTCAGCCCTCAGGGGTCACAATCTAGTGTAGGACACAGAGCGATCAGTCCTGACCACGGCCCGCATTGGTCACACTCTGGTGGGAGAGTCACTGTCAGCAAGCCAGGTCCCAGCACTTGGGGCTCAGTTTCGTAGACAGACACAGGAACATAGATAGCCTGGGTTCGCTGCGGGAGACAATGGCAAGGATCATTCAATTGGAAGCTACTCCTACCCGCACGGTCCAGGAAAAGCAGTTGGGAGGCTGCAGAGATGACCAATCAGAGCTACATCCCTATGCACCTCGCTCCAAAAGCCAGACTCCAGGAAATTAGTGTACCGTGCCGCCAACAAGTCTGAAGGAGTAGGAAAGGCAGGTCTCACGGGTGGTGCTAAACAGTAAAAAGGGGAACCGAGCCCAGAGATTACCAATCACAACCAGAACCTTCCACTGCCGCTGCCCAACGAGAGGGCGAGTCTTCCGTCGTCTGGACAATGGCTTTAGGGCCCAGGTCCCGCGCAGGCGCTGGGTAGGGCAGGGCTCCCAGGCAGGCGGCTGTCGTGGAGGGCCTGGGCACAAGTCGGGGACTCGGGCAGGCTGGCAGGCAGAGAGCACTCACCTTGGCAGCACGATCGCAGGGCCTCTTCTTAGTACAGGCTTGCGACTTTCCAGGCAGACCTGAGCGCTCCCAAATAGCCCCAGTTCCGCCCTCGCTACTCCCCGCCTAATGGAGCGAACCAATAGTGAAGTGGAGGAGGTGACTTTTGCCAATAGGAGTCCTCCATACGTCTCAGGCCCTGTCCTCGCCCGTGGTGCCATCTTCCCTGTTGGCTGAGACTAAGTCAGGAGTGGGGTGGAGACCAGGATCCTCCAAGGTCGGTGGGCATTTTCTGCCAATAGGAAATCTACGCTAGTCTGGGCTTCAATTTCTCCGCCCCTTTATCAATCGCGGAAGCTAACGAAGCGGTAAATCTTGAACATTTGCTAATGAATAGGCATTGCGTGGCCCTCTATCTCTTAATTTTCTAGGCAGCATCAGTTCCCAGGCCCATCCTCAGTCCGAATGCAAAGAAAATATGACAGGTAGATCGCATTCCGCACAAACCTAGCGCCCACCTGAGCTCAGAACTCCCCAGCCCTGACAGCAGCGGCCACGCTCACCAGTCCCTAATTCAAATCGAAACTATTCAAAACCCTCACTCCTGCTGAGCAATTGATGTGGAGACTCTCAGCCGTGCCAGTTCTTAAGAGCCAAACAGAACATGGCGCCAAACCAGTGGGCAATCACACCTCATCAGCATTCAGTCAGAAAGCACCCATTTCAGAATCAGCATAATTATAACCTGCAACACTCAGTCCTACTGACCTATAGGCATCAACCCTTCGTCTGTCCTAATTTGAGCAACCAATCAGAATAAGGGTCACTCAATTCTTTATCATTCACTATTAGTGCTCCTCTCCCCCACCCCACCCCACCTCCACATCTATTCCTGCTCCACACAAGCAGGACCAGTATCAGCCAATCATGAGCAATCTTAAATTCACCGCAAACAGATCATAATCTGCTCCCGCTTGTGAGTTTCAGTTTCCAAACCCTTATCTGTGGTCCTCCTTCTTTGCTCTCTCTTCTTCCCCTCTGAGCAGTGAAGAATGAGCCTGTTCCATATTTCTACTTTTATTTGACAATAACAAACTGCATATAAAAAGGGAGAAGGCAGGCGGGGAGGCCCTAGATCAGCTCCTCTCTGCATCCCCAAGTATCCACTTCTAGGCCCCAATGAGGACCACCCCCTTCCCGCCTGGTAGTGGGGTGGGGATTGACAGGCAAGGGAAGGTTGTGTGTGTTTGCGTGTTATGTATAGGGGTGTTGGGGCTCAAGAATGGAGAGGGTCAAGGAGTAGAGAAAGGGCCTTCCCTCATCCCCCCATGGGGGCTGGTACCCTAAGGAGGGGTCTTGAAGGGAATTATGAGGGTCATATGCTTCAGCCTATGAGACGGTAGAAGATCCAGCATCCAAAAGTGACCCAGTGACTCGCCCAGCTGAGCTCTGACCACTTGTGGACAGTGTATGCCATGCCGTAGCCCTGTAGGAGAGAAAGAGGTCGTGGTTCTGAAATTCAAGGACAGAGTCTCTCAGGAAAAGCCATCTTTTGCCCAGGGATATTTGGTATGTCCTCGTATACCTAAGTGACAGACGGGTCTAGGTACTTATGAAGGGTAGCCAGGTAATGTTTTTCATTCCTTAAAGATCATTTCAAGGGGATGAGTGTATAGCTTGATGTAGGGTGTGTGTTTTTATGCAGGAGACCCTGGGTTTTGATTTCTAGCTGCAACAAAAAGGCCATTTTAAAAACAAGATGAGGGGCTGGAGAGATGGCTCAGTGGTTAAGAGCATTGCCTGCTCTTCCAAAGGTCCTGAGTTCAATTCCCAGCAACCACATGGTGGCTCATAACCATCTGTAATGAGGTCTGGTGCCCTCTTCTGGCCTTCAGGCATACACAGAGACAGAACATTGTATACATAATAAATAAATATTTTAAAAAAATAAAAACAAGGGGCTGGAGAGATGGCTCAGTGGTTAAGAGCATTGCCTGCTCTTCCAAAGGTCCTGAGTTCAATTCCCAGCAACCACATGGTGGCTCATAACCATCTGTAATGAGGTCTGGTGCCCTCTTCTGGCCTTCAGGCATACACAGAGACAGAACATTGTATACATAATAAATAAATATTTTAAAAAAATAAAAACAAGGGGCTGGAGAGATGGCTCAGTGGTTAAGAGCATTGCCTGCTCTTCCAAAGGTCCTGAGTTCAATTCCCAGCAACCACATGGTGGCTCACAACCATCTGTGGTGAGGTCTGGCGCCCTCTTCTGGCCTGTAGGCATACAGACAGAACATTGTATACTAAATAAATAAATAAATAAATAAAAACAAGATGATGTGCTGGATGCAATATGAAATCACTGGAAATCTGAGCGTCTACCAATAAGGAACAAAATAAACCATGTTGAACTCTTGCAATGGAAAAAATGAAGATGCTATGTGCTTAAAAAACTGGGGTGAGCAAGGTGTGGAGGCCCATGCCTTTAATCCCAGCACTTGGGAGGCAGAGGCAGGCCCATCTCTGTGAGTGTGAGGCCAGCCTGATCTATGGAGCTAGTTCCAGGACAGTCAGGACTGTTACACAGAGAAACCTTGTCTTAGGGAAAAAACCTGGAGGAAAGAAACTAAACTAATTAAATATATTGTGTGTATGTTTGACATGCTTTGAGGAAGACAGTTAATAAATGAATTAAAATGTTTGTTTGTGCATTTTGCAGTGACTATCTCCAATGGTTACTTTGTGTTTGTTTTGGGTGCTAAGGATCACATTTCAACCATGGTAGACAAGGGCTCTACCACTGTGGGCTCTACAGTCCCACCTCTAATGTATTTTTTGTTTGGTTGTTATTTTTTTTTTTGAGATGGGTTCTCTCTCCATAGCCCTGGCTGGCCTTGAACTCACTGTAGACTAGGCTGACCTCAGATTCACAAAAATTATCTGCTTCTGCCTCCCTGAGCGCTGGGACTAGCAGCATTCATCACCACACCCATTCCTAAAATGCTTTGAAAAATGTTAAAGAAGGGCTGGAGAAATGGTTTAGTGGTTAAGAGCACTGATTATTCTTCCAGAGGTCCTGAGTTCAATTCCCAGCAACGACATGTTGGCTCACAACCACCTGTAATAAGATCTGGTGCCCTCTTCTGGCCTGCAGGGACACATGCAGGCAGAACATTTACATAATAAATAAATAAATCTCAAAAAAATATTAAAGAAAGCCTGGCATAGTGGTGTATGCCTTGTAATCTCATGTATTTGGGAGGCTGAAGCAAGGATAATCTTTTTTTATATACCTGAAAAAGAAACTCAAGTGGGCATGACAGCTGATATGTAATCTTTTTTTTTTCCAGACAGAGTTTCTCTGTAGCCCTGGCAGTACTCCCAGATCTACAAGCTAGATCCCAGGCTAGCCTTGAGCTCAGAGATCCATTAGCCTCTACCTCCCAAAGTGCTGCTGGGATTAAAGGCATGTAATCTTGGCACTAGGGAGGCTGAGATTTGAGAAAAAGGATTCAAACTAGCCTGGACTAATACAGAATCCAGGAATGAAACAACAACAACAAAAACCAGGACCAAACAAATCCAAATTTCTTTTGAGTCAATGTTTTTCTACTAAACTCACTATAATACAGAGACCAAGCTGGCCTTGAACTTACAGAGACCCAGTTGTCTCTGCCTCCCAAGTGCTGGAACTAAAGTTGTGCACTGCCATGCCAGGCTGCAAACCCAAGATTTTGTTTTGAATGAATTTTTTTTTTTTTTGGTTTTTCGAGACAGGGTTTCTCTGTGGTTTTGGAGCCTGTTGAATGAAAATTTTAAAATATTCTTAATTAGGAAAAAACCATGAAAATTTATTTTTAGGTAAGAATTTAAAAGTCAGGCTGGGTGGTGGTGGCACACACCTTTAATCCCAGCACTTGGGAGGCAGAGGCAGGCAGATCTCTGTGAGTTCGAGGCCAACGTGGTCTACAAGAATGAGTTCCAGGACAGACTCCAAAACTACAGGGAAACCCTGTCTCCAAAGCAAAACATAAATTTTAGGTTTTTTGTTTGTTTGTTTTTTCAAGACAGGGTTTCTCTGTGTAACAGCCCTGACTGTCCTAGAACTCACTTTTTTTTTTTTTTTGGTTTTTAGAGACAGGGTTTCTCTGTGGTTTTGGAGCCTGTCCTGGAACTAGCTCTTATAGACCAGGCTGGTCTCAAACTCACAGATATCTGCCTGCTTCTGCCTCCCAAGTGCTGGGATTACAGGCGTGCGCCACCACCGCCCGGCCTGGAACTCATTTTTTAAACCAGGCTGGTCTCGAACTCACTGAGATCCACTTGACTCTGCCTCCCAAGTGCTGGGATTAAACGCGTGTGCTGCCAATACCCAGCCAAGGTGATTTTTCTAAAAATAAAGTCTCAATTATGTTGCCCAGGTGGTAACATTCCCGGGCTCACACATTCCTGCCTCAGTGTCCCAAGTCGCTGGCACCTGTAAGTATGCATCATCACTCCAAGGAACATAAATTTTAAAGCAGAATCCAGGGCTGGGATGTAGCTTGATCGGTAGCATACAGGAAGCCCTGAAATCCATCCCCAGCACACATAACCTGAGTCTGGACAGACATGTCTATAATCTAGCACATGGAAGGTGTGTGCAGGATGACTAGAAAGAAGTTCAAGGTTGTTTCTGGCTAATAATGAGCTTGAGGCTAACCTGGGTTACATGAGTGTCTCTTTTTCTGTGTGTGTGTGTCTGTCTCTGTCTCTCTGCCTCTCTCTCTCTCTTTCTCTCTCTCTCACACACACACACACAGATATGGGGGGTGAGGGTGCAGGAGGGCTGGAGTGTGTAACATAGTGGAATGCTTACATGTCCTTGCACCAAGCCCTTGGTTTCATCTCTAGCAGCCCATAAAACTGGGCTGTGGTGGTGCCTGCCTGTCATTTCAACCCTTAGGAGGTAAATAATGAGTTTGAGGCCAGCCTGGAATACATGAAACCCCTCAAAGTTATACACAAAAGTAAAACCTGGGGCCAGGAGGCAAAGCAAATGTATATAACACGAGGGAGGACCTGGGTTCAGTTCCTAACAGTTAAACGGATTTTGTATTCTATCTCAGAAGAATGGATTTTAGAGGGTATATAAGTAAATACTGCAGTTTACTCAAAGGAAAGAGCCAGCAGTGTGACTAAATTTGAGGGACAATGGGAAAGATGGAGCAAGGCATTTGTACAAGCTAAACCACGGGACCTTGGCTTGGCCTCACTGCCTTGGTCTTCAAGGTTCTCCCAAGTGCCATCCCTGGCCCACCTCCCAGCCCAGGGCACCACCTCACCTGCTCCTCTGTGGTGTCGTCCACATCGACATCAAACAGGGAGCCCAGGTAGGCCAAGTGGAAGACAGCTAGGGCCCCAAAGAGCAAGTTTAAGGCTCGTACCCTCAGGCCCTGTGGGGGACAGATGGATATATTTAGCAGCTGAACCTGCCCACTGTCCCCCACCACCACCCGTGCAGGGAAGCCCAGGGGGACACAAGGCACTGTGGGTCCCAGGAATGAGGATGCCCAGGGTACCCCGAGATAGGAAAGAGATGGTTCAAGGAGCCTCTTATGGGAGCTCAGAGGTATCCAAGGACGAGGGTGTTGGTAACCACGAGGGCGTCCAGGTTGGGGGAGATGCGAGCGTTCAGGCAGAGGAGCAAGAATGGTGGTGAGGGCTTTGAGCCAGGGGTTATGGTGATGAGCATCGTTGCCGGGTGGGAGACAAATGTGAGGTTGTCTGCATTTCTTATGGCAAACAGAATGAAAACAACAACAAAAGCAAAACAAATCCCGCCCTGACCTAGAGGGCCCGTCTTTCCCCTCTCCCCATCACTCTGCTCAGGCCACACTGGCCTCCTCACTGTTCCTCCAACATTCCCAAGTTGGGGTGGGACTTTATGCTGGGTATCCCCTTTTCCTGAGATGCTCCCCTCCCTTACCTCTTTTACTTAAAGAACTCACAAGTTGCCTCACCTACGGAGGCTTTCCTGATCTTCCCAACAAAACGGGAAACCACCGCCACACTTCCCATCCCCTTTCCCTTATGCTTAGCGCTACTCACAACCTGACAAACTACTACTAGCCTTGACTGACTTTACTGTCTCCCCAATTAAAATCTTTGTCCCACGGGGCCAAGACTTTGGCCTGCTTTGTTCACCACTTTGTCTCCAGCACCTAGAACCAGCAGGTGCTCAATAAATGTTCAGTGGGGGGAACGAATGCCAGGTGTGTATACAGCAGGTGCTCAATAAATGCCTGTTAGAGAAACAGATGCGAGTGAATAGAGGCGAGGTTTTAGGAATGGCTCAGGCACCAGAAGAGGAGGCTGGGCACCCGGAGACAGATACAAGATGGAGACAGAAGTGACATTTTGGAAAGGGCAGTGTTGGGTACAAGGTTACCCATGATGAACTCTCACCAAGCGATGCCGATGTGAACAGTCCGGCAGACAACGCTTCGACAAGATGCAGGCACTGAGGATCTGAGCCAGGCGCTTTCGGAGGACTGGACAGGGTGGGACGGCAGGTAGTGCGGTTAGTCTTTGGGACCACTGGAGCTGGCCTCCCATGAACCTTCCTCCCACTGGGACTCTACCAGGCTCTGCACTCACCATGTTCCACGTAGGTGATAAATGCCAGGGACAGCAGTACCGCAGCCAGGTGGAAACTGAAGCCCTGGAGAGTTGAGGAAGGAGACAATGAGAGCGATGAGACTCTGGTTCCCCCGCTCAGCTTCCCTCCATCCAGGTCTGTCCAGCTCACATGCAGGAGGGCACTGGATGCGTAGGTGACTAGCACGGCTGAGAAGGTCCCCAGGCGGAGAGCATTCTTGAAAACATCTGCAGGCGAGAGAGATACAGGTTCAGATTGTCCGGAATGTCCACTAGCCCTTGCAGGGAGTGACAGGTAGGAAGATAACCACAATCTGTTGGGGCCCTCAGGATAAAGTCTATGATGTCCTCAACTGTTACAAGCCTGAAAACGAACTCCAAGTCTTCCTTCCATCCTGCTTCAGCCAGACTTCACAAGGCTAGCTAGTCAGTGGCAACTCTCCATCCTTCTAGGTCCTCAGGGCAAAATTCAACCTTCCCAATACACTTACACTGTTAGCAAATCTTATCAGTTCTTCCTTCAGAATCCACCAGAACCCTACATTTCCCTGTGCCTGTTGCCACCACTCTTGCTGCTCCGGGCAGCTCCAGCGGCCCCCTTGCTGCTGTCACCCCTCTCTCCACTTGCCTTCATCTAGCTGAAGGGATCCAGTTACAAAAAGGCCAGGGGGATCCAGTTCCAACCCAAATGACTCTCCTCTGATTCTAGCCCTGCCCGGAGACACTATCTCTCAATGGTCCAGGAGTCTCTTGAGGATCTCTGATCTCATGTCCTGCTACTACCCCACCGTGCTCACTTTGTTCTTCCAATTCTGGGGATATAACTGAACGGCTTGCACGCGCCCTACCCTGGGGTCACGTTTCCAGTCCCCTACAACCTTCTTGCTGTCTCTCCGACACATCAGGCAAACTCGCACCTCAGGGCCTTAGCACCTGCTGTCTCGCCACCTGTCACATTCCTCCCCCACACATCTGCATTCCTTGCTCCTTCAGTGTCCTTAGATCTTTGTTCAAGTGTCAGGAAAACTTGCCCTGGATAAAGTATTTTCCAGACCACTCCCTGTCCCTTCCTTTTTCAACATCGCTGTTACTACTCACGTCGGCATTTATCACTACCTGACTTACTGCGTATTTTTTCCCTAATTATCCACCCTCCCAATTACCACTTTTACCAGGTTAGCAAATGTTGTGAGTTTTTTTTTTTGTTGTTATTGTTCCTAACATACCTTGTTTTTGAGACAGGACCTCATGTAGTACCCAAGGCTGACCTAAAACAGCTGTGTAGCTGAGGATGACCTTGAACTTCCAAGCCTCCAGCCTCCACCTCCAGAGAGCTGGGATTACAAGCAGGTACCACACACCCAGTTTTTATGTGGTGCTAGGGATCAAAATCTTGGGTCTCATGACTACTAGACAAGCACTCTACAAACTGGGCTACACTAACAGCTAGCCGCTGCTGTGTCTTGAGTCTCATGACTACTAAACAAGCACTTTACAAACTGGGCTACACTAACAGCTAGCCGCTGCTGTGTCTTGAGTCTCATGACTACTAAACAAGCACTCTGCAAACTGGGCTACACTAACAGCTAGCCGCTGCTGTGTCTTCAGCTCCCACCATGCAGCAGTTGCCCACTAAATGTTTGCTGTAAAAATGTATGAAAGGGTCTGGGTTACCAACTTTTTTGGAGTGGTGACTTAGGGACTCACAGTTATTTAACCAATAAGACATGGGCAGGTTCCAGCTTGTGACAACTTCCACCATGGACCGGGGCAGCTCCACATTCAATGGTCTAGAGACTGTCAGGTCCCTTGTGGGCAAAACAGACATGCCATTACAGTTGGTATCAAGCTAGCTGGTTGCTATGCTTCCGTCTTGACTGGCTCCTTCTCAGGATCACCTCCCACCACCCTACACTTCCTCCAGGCAAAACCCTGTGGGAGAAGGGGCCCCAAAATCCTCCCCACCATTCCAGGTGGTCCTTCTCCTCCGTGAAGCCAGCCCCGGCCAATGTGGCTGTAGCCTCAGACAGAAAGCCCACAAAATAGTTGCTGAAGTGGAAGGAGACAGCACTCTCGTAGGCCCGCAAGCCACCTGTGAAGAAAAGGCCAGGAAGGAAGGTATTACATCCAGGCCCAGACACGACACCCCCCCTCCATGTCTCAACATCGCGGCCTTGTGGACTCACCTTACCATGGTGCCCCTAGGGCCCCCAGAGGTCAGGAATGCAGCAGAGAGGAGAGAAAAGAGAGTCAGAGAGACCCTGGAAATTGGCCTGAGTTCTTCATAGATAAGACAGAAACACGGTAGCAAAAGAGGCAGACTCTGATGGTCACACACACACACACACACACACATACACACACACACACACAGTCAGGTGATTGATTGATTCCACATGGCTCAAATGAATGCATGAGCTGGCATATGACACAGCCCTGCACACTAAAATGGCCACACGGCCAGACAAAAATGTTCTCAGCCTCTCAGCTCTCTAACCAGATTCAGTCACCTTATAAGACAATAAAATAAAACCTTAGTGAGACACAGAGACAGTTAAATGCCCACTATGCACACATACACGGTCAATTTCACAGACAATGTCAAAAGCAGAATAGTGCCCCGCATTCCAAAACATAAAAGTACTTCAATTAGGCCTGGGCTTTGGGCCCGACAATTTAACTCAGGGGCACTGGTCAAGTGACTTCACTTTTTTCAGTCTCATTCTCTTTTCTTTTCCGAGACAGGGTTTCTCTGTAGCTTTGGTTCCTGTCCTGGAACTCACTCTGTAGACCAGGCTGGCCTTGAACTCACAGAAATTCGCCTGCCCTTCCTTCCGAGTGCTGAGATTAAAGGCGTGCAACGCCTAGCCACTTTTTGGAGTCTCATTAGTATTAGACATAACCAAGAGCCAGTGAGTAAGGGTAGCGAGTCATACGATCAAACGGCTAGCAAACAGCCAGATACAGTCCTGGTCAAACAGGCACAGGCTCATAGCTTGTCATAATCCTTTAGGCAGATAGCACCAAGCAGTTTAAGACGGCAGACAAACTGCAGAGTCAATCACAAGCAGGCAAACTGCATGCTGTACAGGCAGACCAGAATTACAGATAAGCCAGAATCACCGACCCAGGTTTACTCTAGCCAGTGACAGCCACACAAGCCCACCACTGACAATGCACAGCAAGCCAGTCAGGATTCTCAGCCCAACACTCAGAGAGTCAGTGGCCACAGGCAAACAATTCAACTCTGTTATCAGGAGTCATGGGCAATTTAGAGTCACCAACTAATACACACTTGCCGCTTTCCATTACAGTCACATAGCTTGTTTCTATTGGTACAACAGAAGGACATCCAGACACAGTAGTGTTGGAGTGTCAGTCATACACGGAGTCACTGAGCCAATCTTGGTCAAACAGACATCCACAGACAGACACTTGGTCTCTGTGCAGTAATGGGGTAGATGGTCAGTCAAATTCAGATGTCTGGAACCATATGGTCCAAGGCTCTGGCCCAGCCCTGGTCATCCCACTTGCCCTCAGCACCTGCCCTCATTTACCTGGCTTTGCGTTTCTTGCTGTAGTAACAGAAGACAGACAGAAGCATTAAGAGACAGGCTCAGAACTGGGAAGACCCCAGGCTTCTACCCAACCCCCTCACTGCTACACAGGGGCCTTGAAGGCTGTGCTCACTTGCGAAAGAGTCGATCACCGTCGAGGGGGACGAAGTAGGGGAAGAGGTAAGGGCCCACACAAGTGGACAGTACAAGGCACAGCAGGGCCAGCGCCAGGCTCCGGGCCACCTTCTTCAGCCATCGGCGGCTCTGTGGGATCAAGGATCCATGAACACTGCCCCATGGCGACTCCCACAGTCCCTGCCCACCTAGCCACCCAGGAGCTCACCAGTGGGCGGCCTTGGACAGCCTGTAGGTAGCTGTGGAAGGATATCCAGGGCCCAAAGACGATGGTGCCCACAAAGTAGAGGTAGCCCATGAACTCCACAGGTGAGGGCACTGCACCCACCTCGCCCCGGTCCAGGTCGAAGCCCAGAGACACCGCCTTCATGGCCACGATCATCTGGGCCCCTATGTGTGGGGCCCATGGTCAAGTGTATGGACAAGAAACCATGTCACAATGAAAGATAGGGTGTACCAGGTGTGAGGTGCCAGGAAAGGGAGACACGATGATAAGCAGAAAGAGACAGAGAGACACAGATGCCAGGGGAGAGGGAGACCTGCGCTGTATGTGGTTTAGGAAGGGGGAAAGTCAGGGAGGAAAGAATCAGGGTGGGGGCTCTTAGGAGATGAGGGGGGAAGAGGGGCAGAGCTACCCACCTCGCATCTTGTGCCATGTCACGGTGTCCACCATGTGCATCTCACTGAAGGAAAAAAGGTGACTGTCTTGGCCCTATGCTTCCTAGGGCTTTGGACACTACAGGGGGGCATCAAGGTATTGAAGGGGTTCTGCCTTTCTGATGCATACTACATACTAAGGGAAAAAAATTCCCAGCGCCCCCTCCACGGGAAGCCCATGATCAACCCATCCTGTACAGCCTCATGAAAGGAGCAAGTGTTCCAGTCTCCTTCAGGGACACTAGTCACTCTCTCTTTCTGGTGTCTCTTTGGAGAATGGTGATCCCTGACTCCTCCCTTTCTCCTTATAAGCCCATGCCATCCTATCTAGGACCACTTCATCGAGGCCTTGGGGAGCCGCCTGCCTTCAGGGTGAGGGTGAGGATGCACACCCATACCCCATGAGTAGGTAGATGAGGATGGTGATGGAGAGGAAGACGCCTCGGTGAGAGGAGTGTCGGCAGAGGAACAGCACGAGGTAGCACAGGAGGCTGAGCAGCACGACCCAAACCATGTGCAGCTGGAAGAAGTGGTAGAGGCTGAAGAAGCCACCTGCCACGGTGCTTGCATGCTTCAGGTAAGACGGTAACCCTTAGGGGACAGGGAGAGAGAAAAGGGGGGGGACAAGAAGTGGGAGGTTGGTGGACTGGCAGGAAAGAAAGGAGGACTTGGGCAACAGGGCCCACTTTGGGCAAAGGCCTAGAATGTGATGGGGATGAAGGGGACCCAAAGCTGATACTGATGAGCTTGCAAGTGTAGCAAGGTCCGCATTTAAAAAGGAACATCTACCAGGGACATTTCAGGGATCCTGAAAGAAAAAAATTATTAATTTATGTTGGACAGTATTGCATCCAGATTAAAATTTTGCAGGGGTGGGGGATGATGGTTGAAGCTATGACTATGGGGGGGTGTGTGCTTTTGTTCTCAGGGACCATATACTGAAGGACTTGGGGTGAAATATCATGCTACTATTACTGAAATGGCTCAGGAAGATGGGCAGGTAGGAAGATAGAGCAAGCTTTTTTTTTGGTTTTTGGGTTTTTTTTTTTGTTTTGTTTTGTTTTTTTTTTTTGGTTTTTCGAGACAGGGTTTCTCTGTGGTTTTGGAGCCTGTCCTGGAACTAGCTCTTACAGACCAGGCTGGTCTCAAACTCACAGAGATCCACCTGCCCAGCTAGAGCAAGCTCTTATAGCAAAATATGAGCTATGGAAAACCTGGTGATTAATTTATATGTGTGTGGTCTCTGAAAAGTTCTTTCAACTTTTCAGTAGCTTTGATATGTACCAAAATAATAAAACTGGAAAAAATTCACTTAAGATGAAAAGGAAAAGGAACGAGAACCTTTGGTTTTCAGAAATCTCTGTATCGTATAGGGATCCTGGGGATTCGAACTTTCTCATTTGGCTATTGACCTGCTATGATTGTGGAAGCTATAGAATCTAAGAACTCAGAAATTTCATCATGCCCTGATTAGAGAAATTCATAATGTCAACATTTTGGAAGCCCAGCCTGTGAAAATTTCAACTTGGCAAGACTCTTTAAACCCGTAACTATGATACTTTGCAATATGATACTTGTAACACCAGCATTTAAGGATCTGATTGATAGATAACCTTAGAATATAGACAGCTGAGGCTCCCACAATCCCCGAGTGCAAAGAATGCTGAAGGTCATGTCTTAGTTTAATAGGATGTGGCTTGGCATAGTGTGGCTTGAGGTGGCTGTACATCAAGAAGGTGTTGTGGTGGAATGGAGCTTAGCTTAATGGATGTGGTGGGATATGCTGGACCTGTAGGGGCCTGGTTTGACATGGCAGGATGTGGCAAGTTAGGATGTGGCAGGGTAAGGTCTATCTTGATATTCATGATTGTGGCAGATTAGAGAAAATCTAATGTGGTGGAACACAATGTGGCAGGCACTTACCCAGCCTCCAAAGGAGGCGGCAGGCGAAGCAGATGGTAAGGAGCAGCCAGATCTGGTCAAGGCCCTGTTGGACAGTAGGCAGGAGACAGCCCTGCAGTAGCTGCTGGAAAAATTCCTGGCGGCTGAAGGTTGCCATTGTGGATCCACACAAATGGATGGACAGATGGATCTGCCAAAGGGAGGACACAGAGACAGTAAGATGTCCACGGGGCTACCCACAATCAAGGTTTGGACTTGAGCACTCGGGACTTCTGTTTGGGGCTGCCAAATCCCCAGCGTGGTATTGGAAGGCTTGGGAGGGTGGGGGAGAGGATGTGAATCAGGTACGTCAAGCTGAGCCACCAACTGTGCTATCAGCGGGTGTTCTAGATGCACCGTGACCCGCAGGGAATGAAGGACCTGTGTATCTTGAATGCTGCGAACAGTCTGGTCCAATGATGATAGAATGATATGCATTCTAGACCTATATATCAAATGGGAACGTGGGAGCCGCGCGCACACTACTGGAGACCTACCTGATGGAAAGGAAGCCGTGGTCCTGGGGGCCGGGGACGTGCACTGCTGCCACCGTCGCCACCTCCTCCGGGCAGCCTCCCCCTCAGGCCGCAAGGCCGGGACCAGCAGTGGCTCCCAGGGCGGCGCGGCGGAGCGGGCCCTTTAAATCCCGGGGCGGGCCAGCGGCTGAGTTTCTCCAATCGGAGAGCGGGAGCGGGGCGGGGACCGGGAGGAGTGAGCCAGAGCATCGCGAGGAGGAGCAGCAGGGTTGAGGGGCGCGGGGCGCCGGAGCACGTCGGCGCACGGAGGGTTCGCGGGTGCCCTTTTCAGGCCAGTTGCTATTCCAGCTCTGAAACGTTCGAGACGTTCGAGGCACAAGAATTTCTCAACTTCCAAGAAAATGTTTCCTAATGATTATTTTGTAATCCTTAAGAACCAAGATGGAAAAGATAAGGGAAGGGTTGAAGCTAGCCCCTTCTCTGCTAAAAAGGTCGCCCCTGCGGTTCCTCTAGTTTAGATTTTAGCACGACCCTAGTAACAGCTGGACAAATAGCCGAGGTTCCTCTTTTCCTATCTCTTGAAGGATCTGAAGGAAGGAATTTTCAGTCTTCCTTAGCCTCAGGGACCAGCCAGGACCTTTTGTAGGTAATGACTCTGTCACCTAGGAGCACTCACTAGGTGTCTTATCGACCCCCTAAGGGCAAGCTGTGGGCATTTGGTTTATCATTAACTGATTAGCTTAATCCGCCACCAGACTGGACCCTGCAAAGAAGGTGACTTCAACTGATAACTAAGTGTTCCTGTAAACTAGAAAGAGGCTAAGAAGGAATGCTTAAAAGATTGACCCTGACAAAGATCTGTACCGCTCTCTGTACCAACACAAAGGGTTTGTGCAGCACGGTTCTCTCCCGAAAGTACGCTGCCGCTGCCGTTGTGGGCGTTCAATTCTATTCCTAGGCTAATGAAACCTCAAACTCCCCAACAAGAGCCCATTTTTTTTCCCTAAGGCGCACTTATAGGGCATTAAGGGGCTTAGCTCCAAATGTGAATGTGAACAGAGAAGCATGCCCAGGTCAATCTTGACCTCATCCTGACCCCAGGACCTAAGGAAAACAGGTTCTAATAAGATTAATGCCTGGCTGTATGGAGTTAAGGAAGTTGTGCCCATTCACTCTGGGCGGTGTCCCTTTCTGTTAAACAAAAGGGCAGGATTAGCAGTTCTTGGCTTGGAGAAACTCTTTGCCTGTCTCTGTCCCTGCAGTCTGGGGATGCAACGCAGGGGCCTTGCTTTCTAGGTAAATGCTCAGCCGATGAACTTTTTAACTTTGATTTAAATGGACTAAATTATTAGTCATGTTTACAAGCGAAAAATATTTAACAGGGTATGTGTTTCTGTACATACAAATGAAGGCTTACACAAGCCAGATGCACAAATATTAAAGTCCTTTCCTCAAAGGTAGAATTCAGGGCTAGATTCTCAGTGGTTAGGAGCACTTGCTGCTCTTCCAGAGGACCTAGATTTGATTCCCAGCATCCACACGGGTAGCCAACAACCATCTGTAACTCCCAAGTACTCTTGTGGTGTATATTCATATATAAATCTAAAAACAGTAGAATACAGCTGATGTGGTGGCGCATGTCTTTAATCTCAGTACCAGGAAGGTAGAGGCAGGTGGATCTCTGTGAGTTCGAGACCAGCCTGGTCTACATACTGAGTTCCAGGATTTTCAGGACTACATAGTGAGACCCTGTGTCAAAAAAGAAACTACTAATATCCATATTTTGGGGCCATATAACAAACATGTACAAATCAATAAGAAAAGGAGCCAGGTGGTGGTGGCACACACCCTTAATCCTAGCACTTGGAAAACAGAGACAGGCAGATAGCTGTGAGTTCGAGGCCAGCCTGGTCTATAGAGCATTTTCTAGGACAGCTAGGGCTGTTACACAGAGGAACCCTGTCTCGAAAAATAAAAAGAAAAGAAGAAAAGAAAAGATAAAAAGGATGAAAAGGAGAAAACATACCAGACAATGGATAGAGTGCAAACAGTGAGCTGCTTCACATCTAGACTATGTGGTGCTTGCTTCCTTCGGTGCTAGGGATGGAGCACAGCAGCTTGTTCCAGGAAGTCTATACATTTGAACTGGATTTGCTAGATGATAAACTAGATGAACTGGATGCCTTTTGGGGGGGGGGGTTAAGGAGTGGAGAGTCTCACTAGCCCTGGCAAGTTTGGAACTCCGTAGACCTGGCTGGCATTGGATTCACAGGGATTCGCCTGTTTCTGTCTCCAGAATTTGGGGTTAGAGGTGAGTGCTACCACACCGGATCCCTTTTATTCACTTCTTTATTTGTTTTGTGGCGGGGCCTCACTGTGTAACCCTGGCTGTTCTAGCTATGCAGAACAGGGTGTCCCTGAAGTCGCAGATCTCTGCCTGGTATTAAAGGTGTGCACCGCTGTAATCAGCTCCATTTTATTTTATTTATTTACTTTTTTATGGGTATGGCTGTTGTGCCACCATGCACATCTGTGTATCACATCTGTGCCTGGTGCCCAAGTAGGCCAGGCAGATGAGTGCATGAATCCTCTGGGACTGGAGTTATAGTCAGCTGTGAGCTATCATGTGGGTGCTGGGAACTGAACCCAGGTCCTCTGCAAGAGCAGCCAGTACTCTTAACTACTGACTTATTGCTCCCCTTTCCCTTGTCATTCAATTTATTAAAAATTTGCGCTAAGCGGTAGTGGTGTATGTTAAGTTGGAAGCATAGCCCCAACCCCTGGCCTGAGAGTTGCTTTGGTCTGGACTCCAAATCCCAGCATGCCAGGTCCTGACCCCTCCCTGAAGGGGGTCAGGACCGTTCCCACAAGGTATTTAAATGGTCTCCTAGAGGAGAATCCTGTGGTTTTGGGTCTGCATGGGCTCCCTGCTGTACTGTCTTTCCGCCCTGTGCCTGGCCACCCAGAGAGTCATTCTTATTGTTTTTATTGATATTTATTGAGCTCTACATTTTTCTCTGCTTCCCTCCCTGCCTCTCCCCTCCCCCCCTTCAATCCTCCTGCAAGGTCCCCATGCTACCGATTTACTCAGGAAATCTTGTCTTTTTCTACTTTCTACTTCCCATGTAGATTAGATCTATGTAAGTCATTCTTAATAAAACGATAGATATTCTGATTTGGTTTGATTCGACCTAATTGGATTTCTTGCGCTGGCGGAGCTGCTTTTTTCCTCCTCAGCGCACACCTTCAATCCCAGCATTTGGGAGGCAGAAGCAGGCAGGTCTCTGAGTTTGAGGCCAGCCTGGTCTACAGTGTGAGTGCGAGGAAAGGCTCCAAAGCTACACAGAGAAGCCCTGTCTTGGGAAAAAAATATTACATTTTATTGATGGGGAGAATGTTATGACAAATGGATGGAGGGCAAAGGCCAACTTGCAGGATCTCGTTCTCTGCTTCTACCACGTGGTCCTGGAGATTGAACTCAGATAATCAGACTTGGCAACTAGTTAGTGCCTTTATCCTCTGAGCCATCTGCCTCCTTTTGATGTTCGTTTGTTTGTTTGAGATGGGGTTTCTCTGTGTAGCCCTGGCTGTCCTGGAACTCTCTCTGTAGATCAGGCTGCCTCGAACTCACAGAGATCTGCCTGCCTCTGTCTCCGGAGCCCTGGGCTTAAAGGACTGCTGCCCCCCATCCCCTTTTTTTAAAAACAGGATCTCATATATCCCAGCCTGAATGCAATATGTAGCTGAAGATAAACTTGAATTTACAATCCTCTTGCCCGTAGCACCCACTTGCTTGAATAAGAAACAGGAGAGTCTAAGTTGTGACCTGTGTTATACTATTAGTTTTATTCTGGTTTTGGTCTCCTTTTTAAAGAAAACGTGCTTCTCGAATACCTGCCCACAGTGGGACACACAACATGTACCGCCGAGTACCGCGACCTGACCACTGCTGGGGCTGTCACACAGTGCTACCGAGACATGGGTGCCCGACATCGTGCCCGTGCACACTCCATCCAGATCATGAAGGTGGAAGAGATCGCCGCCCGCAAATGTCGCAGGCCGACTGTCAAGCAGTTCCATGACTCCAAGATCAAGTTCCCGCTGCCCCACCTTCTGCGGTGCCAACACAAGCCTCGCTTCACTACCAAGAGGCCTAACACCTTCTTCTAGACCCAGAGACCCACTGAATAAAGCTCCAGAGTTCAAAAAAAAAAAGAAAACGTGCTTCGATCTTAATTTTCATGATCCATAATCTTGATGAGTTTTCCCGTTTGTTTTGTTTTTGTTTGCTTTGTTTATGAAGAATGAAGGCCAATTCGTGGGAAGAAAGTCCTTCATGATGAATTTATGTGATATGATTAGATTTAGATTATGAGTTTGGGGCAAGATTCCACAGAGGTGATTCTGCTTTTCCATGTACCTAGTATTTCACTGGGAAGTTTTGTTTTTTTTTTTTTTTTACACAGCAGGTTTCCTTATCTTGCCTTGGTGTTATCCAACCATCAGGAGATACCGGCTGGAGATTGTGTAATTGTTTCTCAATCCCAGAGTAGACACTTAAGTTTTGTATCCATTGGTGGTTTTAGCCTGAGGGAATTACTAATCTGATGGTGGCCCTGTGATGGCTTTGTTTTTTTTTCCCAAGACAGGGTTTCTCCAGGGAGCTCCACTACCCTGGAATTCGCTCTGCAGACCAGGCCAGCACTCACAGCTCCGCCAGCCTTTACCTACACTACTGCCTGACTGCTGGAATTTTTAAGGTCTTTCTGTATAGCACTCATAAATCTTATTTTAATTGACAGGTCAAAACTAGTATTTATTTCTTTTTAGAGATAAGATCTTGCTAGGTTGGCCCCAAATTCCTAGGCTCAGGCTATCTTTTTTGTTGGCTTTACAAGTATCTGTGACCACAAAGATGTGTCACCATTGTGAAGCTTGATTTTGGTTTGTTTGTTTGTTTTAAATTAACAGAAAAAAAAAAGCCACCCTTTGTAGTGGCACGTGCTTTCAATCCCAGCGCTGCCTGGACAGAGACAGGCGGATCTCTGAGTTTGAGGCCAGCCTGGTC